ATATTAAATCCGAAACCAAACAAACAAGCTTGTTTCTAATGTTCCTTTAGACAACAAAATACTTCACATACAAAAGGCAGATACACGCCCAAAGAGATAAATATATATACTGTTTATGAATATATAGCATATTTATAAATCAATTCAAAGTGTACATTTTAACAAAATTTGAAGAAACAATTAATGGTCTAACACCACATCTAATGCAGCACTTCATACAAAACAGGTTTCAAGAATTGGGCCATCAAAGGCTACTCTAGGGGACAATAAAAAGAATTTCCAATGGTCACATCACTCATTATCACCCACAGTGATATTAAAACTTACTGGAATCTCACTACACTTGGCTCATTCTTTATATACTGTATTAACTGTGTGTGTGTACTTTTTATTATATATTATTTAGTATGTATATAGTGCCAACAGTTTGCGCAGCGCTTTACAATGTTAGTCTAACAGGCAAGTTGCATGAAAATCCACAGCAGGATCCCACACTAGAGGGAAAGGACAAATATCTTTCCACCTGTCATTTTAAGAGACATCTGCTTGTTTAAAGTTCATCTAACTACCCCATTCCATTCCAGCCAACAGCAGGAGAGGCAGTCTGATCACCAACCCTATTCGCTACTGGAGGACCCTTCGCCATGCCAGGTAGCATGTATCATGACAGGTTCCTGAAACACTTTACACCAGTCCTTGGTTACTCGTGGCAACCGCTTACTTCCTCTACTCCTGGTGCCGAATTAACCCCTTGTAACAGACTTGCTTCGTACCCCAATGTGCTTTCACTGACCCAAGTTCTTTAGCTGCTATAAACCTTTATGCACCTCTTTTAAGTAACTTCAGACCAGGCTCAGGAAACAGTTAAACTTTGATTTACTTTCTCTGCAGTGATACAATTCAAGTGCAAAACACAGTCCTCCTATCGAACTAATCTGTGGCTGTCCAGATATATCTTTTAGGGTGAAAGTACATAACTAGTGAAAGTCCATAATGTGGCAATTCTCCGTTGAGCCAGTGTCCTCGGGTGGACTGCCGGACCCCCTCCCCCACCGTAGCGCAAAGTGGTCCTCCAGAACAATGTCACAGCATCTGCAGAAGCCAAAAAGAGATCCTCTGTACCCTGCCTTCCCACTTATATATGCCTCACAGGGTGGGTAAGCTGCATGCAGTACTTTTTCCCAGTGCACCTTGCATGCACACAGCCATAAAACAGTAGTGTGAACCTGGCACATAGGAGACAAGGCATTTTACCCTGTCCATGCAGTGGAACTGTACTGGAAAAGCTGTCCAATGCAGTCTCACTGGTATGAGTATACCCTTAAAGCTAGTATGAAGTACTTTAACACAGGGAAATCGTATGACTACTTTTGTTGCACAAGGAAGAATTTATTAAAAACAGATGCACAAGAAGTTATGTTTCGCATTTCTCTAGACCAGGGGTCTCCAAACTTTCTAAACAAAAGGGACAATTTACTGTCCTTTAGACTTAAGGGGGGGGGGGGGGGCAGACAGTGGCCATTGGGAGTACAAAAGGCCCCGACATCAGTGGGAATAAGCATTGCCCTATCTTTGGTGTAAGATGGGGCCCATCATTGGTGTCTTTGGAAAGAATTGTGCCCCTCATTGGTGTCAGTGGACCCCACTGTTGGTGTCATTGGGAAGAAGAACTGTACACCAAATGTCAGGGCTCCCGGGTATGACCAGAGGTGTGTGACTGACGCAGGGAAACGCAGACTTCAGATATGTTATAAACAATATAATTTATTGACACTAACAATACAAACATAAACGCAGTGCAATACTAAAACATAACACAGTGCAAACGAACCAAACCAAACCACCCACAGATAACAGTACATACAATGCAAGCTTCATCAGACAGGCCGGGTCAATATCAATCGGGCAGGTAGGTACAGGGGGAGCAAGCAGAGAATGGTCAGGGTCACAAGCCAGGTTCAGCAGGTAGCGGGCAGCGTGGTACAGAGGGTCAGGCAGAGGGATGGTCAGGAACGAGCCGGGGTCAGAGCAGGAGAAGTCAGCAGAGGTCAGATCAGGCAGGGTCAGCAACAAGACAGGAACAGGATGCAGGAACAGGATACAGGGCCCAGGAAAAACACACACCAAGGCAGAGTCTGCAGGTCTGGCCATCCCTTAAATACACCAGTATAAGCAGTTTCAGGTGTTTAGCTGGCTGCAAGGTTGAGTCTCTGATTGCTGGGAGCACCCGCTGGCCAGCCCTGGTACTGCAGCCCATAAGGCAGGCGAGTCCCACCATTGTTGGCCAGTCAACTGATAAACATGGAACTGAATAAGAGCAAACACTGATCAAGAATGACCCAGAATCACCACAGTCTGGTCAATGGGTAACAGTAACAAAAGAGTTCAATCCCAAGCAAAACCTTACAAACTAAAATGTATGCAAATTGGATATTTGCCCCCAGTTAGTCATTGCCATTCAATTACATATTCTATTTGTACCCCAGCACATCCACTCACTAGCAATCAGATGCCAAGACACAAACAGATTTTTTTTTTCTCACCATGCAAAGGCCTTGCAACAAGGTTTTAGTACTTTAAACACTCCTGATAAGTTTTCATGTGTCGGGAGATAAAGAAAACAGTGTCCATCTTCTGTCTTTAGTTCATCACATGCTCTGGACACAGTCATTATCCCCATGTTACTTTATGGTGCATATTGTATGCTGGATTTCAAAGCCTGCTTTGAGCACTGAAGGACAAAATAAATATGTGCTGACCCTGGGCAGGCCAGGCAGTCAGTAAGAGTTTTACAACAATATTGTTTAGTTTTCTGCAGAATGTGGGTGTGAAGTTCAAGGAGTTCAATGTTTCCAAAGGCAAAGTTATATCTGTCACCTGGAGCTCATACAAAACAATATGTTTCAATTCAGTGATAACCTTCTTTTTGAAATATGAGGGTTGTTAGAAATACAAGCTCTTGACAATATTAACTATATCAACCAGGTTGTAAGACTTACATCAACTAACAATTCAATGCTCAATTGCACAATAACAGTTCTAGGAGCAGATGAGGGCTGGCTGCTCGAACCAACCATTATAAATCCTCTTCTTTCTCTAAGGAATAATTTCAATTTATCTGCTCCTTGCAAGACATGAAATAGTGAAATAGTGGGTTAGTCCCACAGTAATGTTTTTTCAATAGCCTAGAATTCAATAAGAGTTTCTCCGCTGCTGTCAAATGAAGATTACAGTGCAGGTCAGTGAGAACATAGAGTCATCTTACCAGGATGGGTATTTATGTGTTTTAAAAGAAATGTGGTATAAAAGTTCTGCAAAGGACTGTTACACTGTACAAGAAATATCAAATATTAATTAAACGAAATATCAATAGTGCACGACAGCAGGTTTTGTTGCTTACAATTTCAAGATGTAATTATCATTAAAGCTCAATTCAAAATACTTGCTACTATTTGCATTTGCTAGGGGAATCAGTGAGCATGATACACAAGTCCACACACTAAGTGCAGTTTCATAGAGAAATAATTTCCCATATTTGTATAGTGCGGACAAAAAAAGTAGTACTTTACAGGGTATGTAAAGCCACATTAGTCCTTGGCATTTAAAGTAGCCACCAATCTAATATGCCCTATTTTCACATAGGCTAGGTCAAATTTAGCAGGAATCCAATTACCCTAACTTTGCTTTTGATTATAAGTGTGTAGTTACATACATATTTACATATAGGTCTATTTATGTTTTCACACAAGAGTCACAGCACTTTCACCAAATCCAATTAGAAAAAAATGAAATTTTGGGTGAAACATTCATAAATAGGATTCCGTACTGTAATATAAATACATAAGAACACCTTACAGTATCTGTACAACTCACAAGAGATCATGAGTGGTTTATCAACTGCTGTAGATCTTTCATCTTACAGTTTGTATATACAGTCATGGCCAAAAATATTGGAAACCCTGCATTTCTGTCAGATAATGCACCACTTCACCCAGAAAACTGTTGAAATTACAAATATTTAGGCATTTTCATGTTTATTTATTTTGTTTGTATTGGTATGACACAAAAAATTGGAGAAATAAAAAGCTAAATCCAACAGATTTCACGCAAAACCCAAAAAATGGACTGGACAAAATTATTGGTACCCTCAATTTAATATTTGGTAGCACACCCCTTGGAATGAATAACTGAAATCAATTGCTCCCTGTAACCATCAATTAGTTTCTTACACACTACTGGAATTTTGGACCACTCTTCTTTCGCCAACTGCTCCAGGTCTCTCAGATTGGACACTCCACAGGTGGTTCTATGGGACTGAGATCTGCACTCATTGCTGGCCAGTTTAGTACTCTCCAGCTCTTTGTCTTAAACCATTTCTGGGTGCTTTTTGATGTGTGCTTTGGGTCATTGTCCTGCTGTAAGACCCATGACTTCTGACGGAGACCCAACTTTCTGACACTGGGCCCTACATTGCACCCCAGAATTCTTTGGTAGTCTTCAGATTTCATTGCATTGTTTTAATGCCATGCATACAGTCAAAACATGTGCCTGAAGCAGTAAAGCAACCCCAATACATCCATGAACCTCCACCATGTTTGACTGTAGGGACAGTATTCTTTTCTTTAACCACTTTCCGACCACCATATAGTAAAATGACGGGCGCAATGTGGTTCTCTCGGTCTGATAGGATGTCATATGACGTCCTTCCATTCTCACCACGCATGCGCGGCTCAGGGAGTGCACAGCGTGGCGATCGCCGGTGTGCTGTGTCCCTTGGACACAGCGGATCACGGAAAGAGCCGACGATGTCGGCTCGGTCATGTGATCAGCTGTGTCCAATCACAGCTGATCACATGTAAACACGGAAATGCTGGTTATCGGCATTTCTCTCCTCTCAAGCTGTCACGCTGACAGAGGAGAGGAGAGGAAAGCCGGTAATCTGCATTCCGTGGAGGGGACATGTACACTGATCATCAGGGCACTGATGACCAGTGTGCCCTGATGATCAGTGTGGCCCCAGAAGGGCCACCTGTCAGTGTCCATCAGTGCCAGCAGTCAGTGCTCATCAGTGCCACGTGCCAGTGCCCATCTGTGCCACATCAATGCCACATATCAGTGCATACCAGTGCACATCAATGCCACATATCAGTGCCCATCTGAGCTGCCTTTCAATCACCCATCAGTGCCAGTCAGTGCCACCTATCAATGCCAATCAGTGCCACCTATCAGTGCTGCCAATCAGTGCCACCTATCAGTGCCAGTCAGTGTCGCCCATCAGTGCCGCCTATCAGTGCCAGTCAGTGCCGCCTAACAGTGCCAGTCAGTGCTGCCTAACAGTGCCAGTCAGTGTCGCCCAGCAGTGCCGCCTATCAGTGCCAGTCGGTGCCGCCTAACAGTGCCAGTCAGTGATGCCTAACAGTGCCAGTCAGTGTCGTCCATCAGTGCCAGTCAGTGCTGCCTATCAGTGCCATATATCAGTGTCATGTATCAGTGCTGCCTTTCAGTGCCCATCAGTGATGCCTGTCAATGCCCATCAGTGCAACCTACCAGTGACTCCTCATCAGTGCCCATCAGTGCCACCTATCAGTGTCCATCAGTGCAGCCTATCAGTACCCATCACTGCAGCCTCATTAGCGCACATCAGTGAAGGAGAAAAATCACGTATTTTACAAAATTGTATAACAAAAACTAAAAAAAAAAATTTTTTTTTTCAAAATTTTCAGTGGTTTTTGGTTTAAGAAAAAATAAGAATCCCAGAGGTAATTAAATACCACCAAAAGAAAGCTCTGTCTAAAAAAAAAATTATACAAATTTCATATGGGTACAGTGTTGCATGACCGCGCAATTGTCATTCAAAGTGTGATAGCGCTGAAAGCTGGAAATTGGCCTGGGCAGGAAAGGGGTATAAGTGCCCTGTAGGCTAGTGGTTAAAGTTCTCATTGCTTTTTCTGACAACAGTAGAATGATGAGCTTTACCAAAAAGCTGTAATTTTGTTACGTCTGTCCACAGAACATTCCCCCAAAACAATTTTGGCTTTCTCAGGCAAGTGTTGGCAAACTCTAATCTGTTTTTTTTTTAAGTTTCTGTGTCAGCAGTGTGGTCCTCCTGGGTCTCCTACCATAGCGTCCCTTTTCATTTAGATGGCGACATACACTGCGAGCTGACACAGTTTGTACCCTGTGCCTGAATGTCAGCTTTAATTTGTCTGGAAGTTGATTGAGATTCTTTAGCCACCATTTGAACAATCCTTCGCTGCAATCTTTGTACAGTTTTTCTCTCTCATCCATGTCCAGGGAGAATAGCTACAGTGCCATGGGCTGTACACTTCTTGACAATGTTGCACATAGAGGACACAGGAACATTAAGATCACTGGAAATGGACTTGTAACCTTGAGATTGTCCATGCTTTTCCACAATTTTTGTTCACAAATCCTCAGACAATTCTTTGCTGTTTTTTCTCTTCTCCATGCTCGATATGACACACAGAGAAACACAACAGAAAGGTTGAGTCAGTTTTTCACCATTCTAACTGGTTGCCGGAGTAATTTCTATATTGTCAGCACCTGTTAATTGATACAGGTGAGTTTAATTACAAATTACAGGAGCATCACAAACTTGGAATGCAATTATTTCTTACAATTTTGAAAAGGTGCCAAGAATTTTGTCCAGTCCATTTTTGGAGTTTTGTGTGGAATGTCAGATTTGGCTTTTTGTTTCTCCACTTTTTTGTGCCATACCAATATAAACAAAAGAAATACACATGAGAATGCCTAAACATTTGTAATTGCAACAATTTTCTGGGCGAAGTGGTGCATTATCTCACAGAAATGTAGGGGGTGCCAATATTTTTGGCCATGACTGTGCACAGATTCAACCTTGGTAGCATACGAAAAAATAACTTTTACACAAGGATTGACAATTTCTCACATTAGATTTGTACCTGAGGTTGTATTTACACCTCTGCTTTATGCTGCATGCATGAAAGAAAATACACTTTCCATAGGAGTGAATTACAATATATGTAAAAATATGTAAAATGCACCTAAAACATGCCCAAAACTCAGTGCACTATATCTGCAACGCACTGAAAAATGTAGAAGTGTAGGTGTTGATTAACTAACCTATTTATAATGAACTCAAAAATTACAGACGATGAACCAGAAAAAGAGAAAACTGTTGTTCTACCACATTTTGATTAAATGGAAAATAAAACTTTTCTTTATTTAAAAAAAAAAAAAAAAGAGAGAAGAAAAATCCAAGTTATCAGTGCCACACATTACCTGCTCCAGTACCAATTATTATGTCCTACATTGGGAGAAAAATGGGCCTCATCCCATACCCATTGTATCTAAAACAAAAAGAACAAGGTTTAACTGGTGTTCCACTTTACGGCTAGTTGGTATTAGAGTCATGGCTAGGATATGTAAGAATTATGGCCAACAGGGTATATGTTTACATGTGACAAACAACCCGACCAATGGAACTATGCACGTGAGTGCAATGTAGTCGCTCAATCCTTGCAGTTATGTCACAGTAAGCACTAAGGTCTTTTTGCTTAGGACATTGAACAGTTTTTTTCAACCAGGACAATCCATGAATCACAGACTATTTTCAGACGGTGTCTACAGGAGAAGCCAAAGGTCGGTGGTTGATGCATTGTTTTAAAAATATGGAAAGACTTTCACAATGATGATTTAGTGCTTAATTACTTTCAATCCCCAATTGTTTGAGGTGGCAAAGAGCTTGCTCAGCACGCACACTCATACAATTCAAGCTTTTTGCTACAGACATTAGCGTATGTTTTCCATAATCCTTCTTGTTTTACATCAGTGGTTTTTAAAATTACCAAAGAAGAAAGGAGGGGAGATGAATAGGAGAAATGTAATTAAATTATTGTCGTACCACATTAGACCTGATGTATTAAGTGAGAATGACATTTTATAAAGTTATAAACTTTAATTTAGACAATAAGAAATACTAGCTGCAATATAGAGATGTTTTGTTTGCCCATGCTGCAAGACTACAAAATATGATTGAAGAACCATATATGAACCAAATTGAAGTGCCTAATTATTTATATATCAAAGGCTATTACATACATTTTACTTTCTTAAACCTAGATGCTAATGATGGCATCTAACCAAATTATTTATAATGAATATGTAATTAAAACCTCAATTATAATTAATAAACTCTTCCATTCTTTACTGTGACCTTCACTGTCCTAAAAGTACAGTGAATATAGGATATAAAATAAATATTAAAGGGAAGTGCATGAGCAGTTAGGCTAGAAAACACCCATAATGTTTCATCACTTACTGATCAATGGAACTTTTTTAAAAAAAAAAATATATATTTATTCAGAGAGCTCTCATGGCTGGAGGCAGGTTCTTGTGGTACCCAATATCCAATATTCCTTTTGATGTTAACTGCCTCCAAACAGAAAACAGATGTTATGTCTCCAACCCTGTCCCATTCTTAAAAACTGTGGGATGACACATATAAATGACCCCCTTAGTTCTCCTCACTATCCATTATCCCCTTTTTTTTTGGAAATCTGCTCTTTCTGCCCAACAACCCTCCTCAGCAATTTCCATGGTGATTAAACAAGCATCTGTATAGGATACATCAATTTATAAAGGAGATGGAGCTAGTGGACACCACCTAATTGCAGAGTACGTTGTACATGTCTCAGGCAGAATTGTCCCATTGGCATCAAACCACATATTATTTAAATTTTTATGTGAAAAAGACAATGGATAGATCCGCGAAGATAGCGTACTGGTCTTAGCTCTAGAGTAACCATTTCTGCACCATACTGTATATCCAGTTAGTTAATTCTACCAACAGGCTTTCACGCCTTTTATTGTGGAGGCAGGGCTTGCATACTGTTGTAGAACCAAAAGACTGGTCCAACTTAATAAACAGAATATATAAGTGTTTTAAATCTGTCTCTGGTGGAAGCTAATTATAATTTTTTTTTCTCTAGATGGTACCTTGTATCAACCAGGCTTGTGAAAATGTTTTCAAACTCCTCCCCCAATTGCTTATGATAGTGGGTGAAAGTTAAGTGGTTTTGGACCCATGTTTTTTGGTCTTATATACACAATCACAGGTATAAGTGTACCAAACACAACTTGTACCCCCTAGTCCTAAATATTCCAACATTCTAAAATTCTCTCAGAAGCTTACATTTTTTTTTCTTCTCTTAGCTACCAAGATAGCAGTTGCTGAGGCAGAGAAAAGCACTATGATCAGCTTGGAGTTTCTGAAGAATCATGGGTAGCAATTTATGAAAAATTAGCCAGTACAGCATTTAAAGTAGAACTATAGCCAAAACTGCTGGTGCCATCAATGATTTCGAAAATCAACCGATCAAGTCATAAAGTTCACCCCATATAACAGGTGAAACTTCTGTTCCTTCCAGGTCATGGCTCATGTGCAGTCTTTTCTGAAAAACGATAGCATGATTTGACCACCATTGAGACAAAAATCGGTCGTTCTTCACTAATTTTCCAACGTGCATGATCACCGAAAATGGGAGGAACCACGAAAATCGGCCAGTGCCATTGACCCACTAACAGAGTGAAAATCAGCCGATTATTCTTAGGTCCGATTTTCTGACGAAAAATCGGTCGAATTTCACCTCCTGTCCCATAGCCAAAACGAAGTTAGAAGAAAACCATGCAAATTAAGTAAATTCATTGGGGACCCCCAGGTCACCAAAACTACTTCCCCTATTGGAAGGTTTCACCTCTTACTTTTCTGAAGACAATTCAAAATTTGGGATTTTCTTTCACTCTCATTTTCAATGATATTGGTAGACAGGACAAACTGAAAGGGCGAAAAGGGGCCACAGAAAGCAATAAAAATTGACAAGCATTCCAATCCCTCTGCATTCTATCCAAAATTTAAAAAGATTTGCCTTTAGTAATACTTTAATGATAAATTAGCATTCTTTGGGAACTCTGGACTAAATATATTTAATTTTGCGCATGAGTTCTGTGGGGGCATGCGGTAAGAAAGTTGCAGTGTCAGACATAAGTAGAGTAGCCTTTGTGGGCTATTCTGTGAAACTCTCCTTAGCTCTGAACTTTTTTGCTGGATCCAAATGTTAAATACCTTTCCAATAGCCAGGCTGAGAATTAATAATCGATTATCAGACACTTTCCCATTTACAAAGAAACTAGACAAGGTTATCCACTCTCTACCATGCTGTTCGCTCTGGTTTTTGAACGTGTTGAACTAATACGTACTGTCAATATGATCAGCTCGCTGGCTTGAAAAGTATACATACTATGTTACATATGTGGTGGTCTCGTCCAAAAGTTGAACCATTCTGGGTCAGTAATATTTGATAACTTTGACTACATCTCAGGGAATTAAATAGTCTGCATCCCTCAGACTGCATTACTGTCTATTCTCCTGGGATCCATGAAAAATGCTAACGAAGGTCTTTTGTGTTCCATTTTTTTTAATGGCTGCTAGTGTGGTTATACCAAAATCTTGGCATTCATCATCCACACCTCAACTTGAGGGAGTGGGTGGATGAAATGCAATGCCTA